CAAACATCAGAATACTAATCAATTCTCGAGGGATCACATACTACAAGCTCCTTGGATTCATCTCAACCTTCCTTGACTCGAGTACAGATCCTCTTCTTTCAGTAGTACGGGCTCATACTACCTTCTACATCTATCCATACTTTCCTCTAGATCTTCCTCGACTTCAACAAATCCCTTCTACTACTAATGATTCACGCGCTACTCTCATCCTAGGCTTTCCCTAGGGTAATCACCATTCGACACTCCACCATCAGCCGCATAAGAAGTCCCTGCAATCTTCCCCTAACTAGTTTGAGAATATCATTACATGCCACTAAGACTAGATAATTCTTTGAATGAGAGGTTCTACCCTACAATGGTAAGACTCAAATGAGAGCTGCGAAATACGGCTAAACCTAACCTTCTGATATTATTTAGTCCTTACAATATGTAACTTATCATATTTTTTTACTAGTTAGTAAAAGATAAATAGAACTACTAAAAGCACAAAGCAAGCAGCATTTGAGCATTGAGTACACATAATCAATCATATTAATCAGGTCATCACACTGACCAATCTGTACTAGCATGAAATTTATAAAGCTGATACACATATAACAAGCACATAAGGCATCCTCCCTAGATCCTCAGTTCTAGTCTAGCATGCAGTTCTCACAAAACTGATAAACATATACTAACATAAACTTGTATGGGTAATTTGTGAGTACTTACTTGAGCTCGGCTGATTGCATACACCACACCCTTTTGTCCTTTTCAAAATTCTTTTTGCTTTTTCTAAAACTCTTTTCTTTTCTCAAATCTTATTATAAAAATGGTTTTTTCTTTTGAAAATTTCTATACCCATTCCTTAGTTTGAGTTCAGACACACCCGAAAGTGTGTCCGAATCCCTCAAACCAAGGCTCAGATACCAACTTGAAACATCCCAGAAATACGCTCCAAAATTTTTGTTTTTAATTCATAAAATAAACCATAATTAACATCATCAAATAAATATCATAAAGCATGTGTCTCAAAACATCTCATCAACTTTCAAAATATCAAATGTCATCTCAAATATTAGAGTAAAATATCCTTGGCGATAAAATCGTGGTGTGTGTCATGCGATCATCCCGAGCTCTTCCCTTTGGTAGCAGAAGTACTTGAAACCAAAACTGATAACTATAATCACGAAGCTTAGTGAGCTCCCCCAAGCTACCACATACCTTACACATAACGTATAACATATAACATAACTTTAGGACTACTCCCAACTGCATTGGGTTGAACCCGACATTGGCTTACCCGACATCAGAATCCTGTTCGGCATCGGGCTTACCCCGGCATCAGACCACATCTGGCATCGGGCCCCAATCGACATCGGGCTTACCCTATCATATGCACTGCATAACATATATCATAAACACATAAAATAAACACATAACATACATTGGGTTTGCCCTGGCATCGGACCGAAGCCCGGAAGACATAACACATAACATATAAACTAACATATATCGGGCTTACCCCATCATCGGACCTAGGCCCGGAACATATAACACATAACATGCATGAATCACAAAGACATCAAGCACATATAACTACTTATTGGGATCGCCCCGACATCAGACCAAAGTCTGGAACATATACTCTACATCTGGATAGCCCCGACATTGAACCGAAGCCTACCACATACTAACATACATAAACAAGCCAGAATTGGTGCCTTAGACCCGTTCCTACTGAAGGAAGACTCGCCTCTCAAACTGGATGTTGGCCTCGTGCGTGAGGAATCTCTGTTGGTTGCTCCCACGACTCCCCGACTAACTCTATACAATAATACTTAGTCAGAAAAACTGAAAATCCATCTAAGGGTAAAATGACCATTTTACCTCAAGTCAAAGTCAACATTCTGGGTTGACCAACTCGCCGAGTCAACCTTTCAACTTGTCGAGTTCTATAACTCAAAAATACTAGAATCACGACCCAACTCGCTGAGTGTCCTCCAACTTGTCGAGCCCTATCGATTTGCTCATAGTCTCGACTTGGGGAATCAGCTCGTCGAGTCCCTCTACAGACTCATGGAGTTCTACCATAAACTGAAACGGGACAACACGAACCAAATCGTCGAGTTCCCTCATGGACTCGATGAGTCCTTATGTCTGTTTGGCCATCTTAACATATTAAGCCCTTGTTTAATAGATCTAAAGCCCATACTTCGATTGTTTAATGGAAAAGACCTTTCTAAGGGTAAAGTTTCCAACTTTACCTGATGATAGCCTTTTTTTAGGGGTTTAACTAAAACATTAATTCCTTTAAGACATAGATCTTGTCCAAACAGCCTTAGCATCTCAAACTAAAGCATGCAAACCTTGATCTAGAGCCTAGATACCAGTTAACCACGAAAAGTCTCAAGCTTGCATCAATTCATGGCCTTTTTAAGCTCAAAAAGCCATTATAATGCCTTATCACTTTCATGGGGACTCCATAGGCATATAGTTTGCACCTTTATGTCCTCATTTCCCCTCTAGACACTAGATCTGGAATAATACCCACCAAGATCGATCCTTTGCCAAAAAATACCAAACTTGGGCTGAAAACCCACAAAAATGGAAATGAATACATCTAAGAAAAGAATGATCAAGTTTGAGGCTTTATTACCAGAAATTGCAGCTAAAGGGATGAAGCTTCTGGATCTAATCCTTCTCTCTTGACCCCTCTACCTTCCTATTCTTTCACAAGCTTCAAAAGACATAAACATATTCTTACAGCATGATCAAATACCATGTCCTGTGTATAATATGGCGTAAATGATGAATTCATTTTCCAAGCAAATAGAATATAATCTATTTCGTCTAGTTGAAACCTATGCGCTATGTACTTTTGAGGCTAGCTCAAAATGGTGACATATGACAATGCCAAGAATTCTCCAAAAGAATCTTGTGTCTTGATCCCTTTCAAGATATTGCCAATATATGTATAAGGACATGAAACATTTAACATTGCTTTTATCTATCTCTTATAGAATTTACATTTGAAAGAATGTATCTTCTTCTTCCTAAGTCTTTCATTTTAGAAACACTTTCCGATTCAAGGTGAAAATGACCTAGCTTAGTCAATATGTGATTTCAAATGATTAAGTATGTCTCATTCATACAAGATTAGGAATTTCACTATGCTCCCACTATTTCTTAGTAAACACACATGTTCTATTAATTTTGATATAAAAACATAACTTATGGTTTTATATTGAAATGAGTATTGCAACATGGAGATGTTTTTTTAATATCCACAAGTGGATCTCAAGCTCTACACATTTTGTTAGGATAATATGGATTAAGAATACCTCCAAGGCTAATCTATACAAATATCTTCTAGTAAATGTCTATTAATAAAAGTGGTCTTTCTTGATGTCTATTTACTATATCTCATATTAAGAATATGAATTTATAGTAAATAATATCCTTGTTGATCTAATCATATCTACTTGTGAAAAATATTTGATCACAGTCAATGTCATAAGTATGACGAGGACCATAGTTAATAACATGAGTATGAGAAAATCCTTTTACTACACATCTTGCTTTAAATGTGTATGGTTTTCCATGTAATTTATTATTTCTATAATAATAATTTACTCCTTCTAGCCTTGATTTAGGGATAAATTTTAATCCATCTCATACTTGATTCTTATACATTGATTACATCTCATGTTCATGACTTTAAGTCATTTATCAATGAGAGACTCCACATTTCTCAAGTCATAGAGGATTTCTACCACTAATGCGAATAATTTGTGTTTATGAATAACTATTATTCAATTTTAACAATCCTTGTTAAGACTAGTGCCAACTATTACTATATAAGGTTATAGTTCTTGAGCTACTTCAAGTTCCATGTTCTTCCCAATTGCTTTGTCATTAGAAGCTTGCTTTCTACTAACTTAGCTTTCACAAGAATAAAAATAACGTATTCATGGTGGGTTTGCATAAAATAATCTAAGCCACATTTAGAGTATTATACAAATATTTACTTAGTAGATTTTAGGTTTAGAAGCTTTAGTCCAACATCGGCTTCAAATTGCATAAAGAAGAGGAATTTAGTTTAAATTTTATAAACTCATGGTTTATAAAATATAAACTTTGTCTTTTGAATAAAAGACAAAAGGTTGTCAACTAGTCCAAAAAGTTGTGCATGAATTATTAATTTATACCATTGAAAATAATATAATGTTACTTGCTAATGAAATTATTATTTCCAAGAAACAAATAATTTCAAATTTAATTATAAGAGTTTTATTGAATATGTATTAAAATCAATTTCTAATAAATAATCAATTATATCAAGTTATTGTTAGTGTGACCTATTAGTATCATATGTTATTTAGCAATATCACTTTAATATGACTCTCGAGCATACTAGATCTTTCAGGCGCTTCTTTAGGATGTACAATCGGTTTCTTTTTAAGCATAGTAGCGATCTCCACATCCATTTTGTTGATTTCTTGAATGTAGGAGACTAACATTCGTTTTAGATGTTCCATTATTGGTTCGAACTTCTGTTCATCTTTTGACATGATAGTGAAAAAAGAAATCTAATCGTATGGATTTAGGCATGACAAGTCAGCGAGAGTGAATTCAAAGACCAAACTCATGGATCTTTGGATTACTTTGAATTAAACATTGATGAAGCTTTCTATTTCAACCGGTCCAAAAACTTTCACTGCAACTATCTTCCTCAAACTCCAAGTCTAATATTGTGGATTCTCATGCATAAGATAGAATGAGAAAAGAATATGATTGATATCGTTATCCATAACAAGATCTTTCTCAATCTTCTCAAAACTTTAGAACAGAAAAGCCTTTGCAATGAATGGTAAATCAAGCTGAGATTTCATAGTGTTTTCCAGCTCAAATGAAACAACTGGCTACAGCCAGTAAACACTCGAATTATCAATGGAATCGTTTAGAATCCGCTCCGTAGTTCAAGGAGGGAAGAGGGTCTTCTGTGTTTCAAGGGAAACTTATGCATCACGAGCATCCTTTTCACAAGCTTCAACTTCTTTAGCAACATTCTCAATTTCATCAAGTTCTTTATCACCTTTATTTCTTTTAAGCTTTGCCCCTTCAGATAGATCTTCTTCTTTTTCATCATCATCATCAACCAATTTTACTTTTTCTTTCAATCCAAAAGCTTCATTACCCTTCTAATATTTTCTTTTTAGTTGTGGTTTGTTTTCGTACTCACCAGAATCACCAACTATTTTCTTGGGTTCTTCACCAGATGTCTTCTTAGTTTCTCCCCTTGTTTCGGAAGAGCATTCGATTCTGTAACACCTTCAATACGATTAAGCATGTAGAAGATGGATTTGAGTTTTTCAGTCTGATCTTGTCGTACCGAGACCGTGAGGAATGAGTCACAAGTCTCTACGAGATTTTGCAAGAAAATATTTACATCTGCTACAAAACTTTTGAGAATAGCCTTTTCGGAGTTAAGATTGTCAATATGTTGGTTGGCATGAGATAGCTTCACAGAAAGGACTTTCGTTTTCTCAGTCTTGACAACAAGTTGATCCATGATTTTGTTTTCTGTAGCAAAATATTTCTATAGCTTCTCAATTTTGGAGACTATTGTGGCATTCAATTCACTATTATCAACTTGCAAGTCTAAACGAACCTTTGAGAGAGGCTCTTTCTTGGTTTGAAGAGTGATGCTGAGACTCGTAATCACCTTGTTTGCAACTTCTGTGTTCTTATCATAGGAACTCTGAAAATATTCCATAAATTGAGTTACATCAGGAAATAGTTTTTTGACTTTTTCGGTCATTTAACTAACTGTTTGCTCGCAGTTTCCAACAGCCTTAGTGGACTCGGCGAGGATTTTAGCATGCTCCTTGGTAGGTGTCTCGATCAGGGCTTTGCTAGACTCAATGGAATATTCACTATTGAAAAATGTTTTGGAAGACTCGAGCAGAGTATCTAATTTTTTATTTAGAACCTTGAACAGCCCTTTCGTCATGGGGGCCTCATCATCATCACTTGACTAATGAATAGTGAAGGGACTGATGTGGAAGTCTTGAAAATCATCCCGATCATCACCAAAAATCATATCAAGATCATCATCCCTTAAGGGAGAGACTGGGAAGGAACTGAAACAAACAGTAACACCATAATAACCTACCCCCGTATCAGATATGTTGACAATCACTTGAGGTGAACTTGTGGTGATAGTTGTTGTTGCAGTTGAATCGGTGTATAGTGGAGTGCTTTGGGCAATAGTGATTCGTGGTTGCGAAACCCCAATAGATCCATTTGGACAAGGGGCTATGGTGATGGGTGTAGAAGTAATAGTAGGAGACAGTGGAGGAGAAGGAGCATGAAAGAAATCATCTGTCAGGTGGAATTGTAATGGAAATTGGAGATGATACCTTCACAGTAGACTGAGTAGAAATAGGCTCCGACACCTTGGGTTACAAGAATATGGGTTAAGAAGTCTTCGAAGTATCTTCAGTTTCTTTTTGAACTTGTTTTGTCCTCCGAGTATCCGAAATAGTGTGAGAATCTGAGTCTTCTTGAGTGACAGGAGAAGGAGATATTGGTTTGCGATTAGCCTTCTTAATCTTCTTCTTAGGAGTTTGAGCTGGATTGGAAGGTCCTGCTTTTGCTTTTCATTTATCTCCCTTTTTAGGCTTGTTAACCTCCTCAAGTGCCCTTCGTAAATCTTCAGGAAACAGGACGAGGACCTGTGGCAGGATTATTTCGATACTCGTTGATAAGCACATTGTCTATCGGAACCTTGAGTAGCATGGCCTCCAGAATGGATCCGACGAAGTCAAATTTGGTAGGATCAGACAGAATACAGTTGGAATTGTGGAAGATTGGAATCACAACAATCATAGATTCATCTGGTACCTGAAGCTGAAGGCAAACAATCGCACGCTTGAAGATGATTGACTAGAAGCGAGCGCAAGATATTTTTGAGTGTCGTGAAGTCGAAAGTGTACTTTAAACGAGTTGACCCCAGAGGATTGAACCATTGTAAAGGTTAATCCCAGAATACAAACCGTAGATTATTGTGCAGAAAATCTTGCTAGCACTGTCTGAACCCATAACTCACTCTAAGAAGCTCTTAAACAATAGAGTGAAAAATCCATTCCACATAGGAGGAAGGTTGGGCTTCTTGAACTTCAATAGGAGAGAGAGGTTTTCTAGATACCCTATTTGGTAGAACATCTCCAGAATCACAAATGAAGAAATTGATTCCGGATTGACCAGACCCTCTGATGAAGAAAACCCTAGCATTCTGCTGAATCGAGCTTTAGAGATGTAAGTTTTGTGGGAATCAATCTCAAACGTTATCACAACCTCACTTTGTTGGTATCTTGTAGTGGAGAAGGCCTTGGAAAGATTTACCAATGGGACATTCTCAGCCACTATTAGGGCTTGAGACAACAAAGAGTAACATAGGCACTTGATCATTGGTTGGATATATTCAGCGTACTTGGAAGAAGAGAGGTCCAGAATGAGGTTTTGGTTGGGTTTGATGTTCAACATAACCGATGAAGTATTTTTTTCTACAACGGATGGAGTTTCAGAAGAAGCAGCCATGGAAACCCTTGGGGCAGATGATGAACAATGTAGAGAGAAAGAAGGTTTTTCACTTTAGAGATTTTGAAATCTTTGAAAGTGGTGAAGGAAATCAAGCATCGATAACCCTTTTATACAGTATGACTGGGGAGAGAAATCTGGTTGTAGGTGGTTCCATATCCCCGAAAATGTGCCTAAAAACTCGTGACAATTGCATGTATGTCAGGCAACGTAACCGGCATGCGTGATGTCATGCACTTTTGAAAATAAACGCGCCACAAATTCAAATCTTATCCCTTTAAAACCACTGTTTTTGTTCTGCATAGTCGTAACCAAGCATCAATCTCCATAACATGTTCATAATAAGTAGTCATATCCTGTTTTCATAATTAAAAGCAACCATTCAGAATTTTGAGACCAAACTTTTGAAAAATCACAAGGATTTTTGTGCAAGAGTGTGGCAAAGATAAAAAAATAAAACAAATTATATCTGGGAATTTGTGATGTCAGTTATAAATAGACATAAAAACACTTGGATTTTGGGTAACGATCTCATCCTTCGGATTTAAGAGAGACTCGGAAGTTGTAACGCCTGTTTTTCTGGGCTTGCTATTTTTAGCAATGTGATAGTCTAGGTTAACCTTTGTAACCCGTTTTGAAATAATAGAAGTGTATTATTTGAGTATTATGTGTTTTGTGCTTAATTGCTTAATTATGTGGTTTGATTAATTAAGAATAAAAATAAGCATCAAAATTTAAGTGTAAAATAAACTAGATATCTTTAGATAATGTTGTAGTAGTTGAAACAAGGTTTCCGAAGATATAAAGAATGCCGAAATCCGAGTTATAACGAAGAAGTTATGACCTGTCGAAGTTTCGCGACAGGACCGACAACGTTGAATAACGTAAAAAGTGAAATTTACGTTAGATCGATATTTAGCCTTAGTGATCTAAACGAGAATCAAAGATCTCGTTGTTAGTATCAAAGCGATAAAAAGTTAGGCGAGAACGGACGTCAAACGAAGAAGTTATGAATTTATAACGAAATTTTCTGTCCCGGCCTATTAAAAATAAATAATAAAAATAAAGTAAAAATTAGCCGACAGAGTCTGAACGAAAGTTGTAGAGCATAGTCTCACCTTCGCGTGGATATAAAGAACGTCGAAAACGGAGTTCGTATGAAGGAGATATGAATTTTCGAAGTTTATTAAATAATTAATAATTAAATTTAATTATTAAATCCGGCCTTATCCGAAGACGAGTCACTGGACTCATCCGGAGTACGCCCCGCGTACAGCGAAGATGTCGACATTCGCACTCGAGGACTTCGGATGATGCATGCGCTTACGATTTCGGACCTGTACGCCCCGCGTACAGGCGTACACCCCGCGTACTCCGAGGCATCAGCCTCCTATAAGTAGGATGCGAGGCTGCCGAGTTTCTTTGATATTTTTCTCCATTCTCTCTCCCGTTTTGCCTCGATTTGCATGCCAGAAATACCCCGAAGCCCCGGTAATATTCCCGAGTCCCGAAGCAAGTCCCAAGATCCCGAAGATCCCGAGAAGTGCGGTTTCCGAGTCGAGGCTCTGTCCGCGAGAAGTTCGATTTTTGTAGAGATCTTCCAGATCTGCTGAGGATTACTACTTCTGCAAGCCGTAGTGCTGTCCGATCATCTTCTGATCAAGTGAGTGTGTAGTTACTTTCTTCTAACGCATAATTACGAAGTATTTTATACGAAATACGTGTTATGTGTATAGTTTTGTTGTTATGTACGTGAATGTATATTCACTCTTTTCAATCTCATAGATCTGAATTGTTTTCTATGAAATACGTGTTATGTGGGTATGCCTCATCTGTTATGTGAAATATGTATTGGATGAAAATGCTATACAGGTTTTAAACTATGTATAAAAATATATATTTTATATACTAATATGTTGGGTAGAACATGGGTAGATAGTTGGTGTCTAATAAACAGATGAGAGGCTTCGATGTTGTTGTTGACCTAGTTATTCAGTGGAGTATGGATAACGACCACAGACTCCTTCTAGACAATCTCGTGGAACGCTAGCAGGTTCATAACCTGTAGGTGTTGTGAACGATGTGTTCACCGGTGTACTCTATCCCCCTCATGGTTGCCTTTAGGATATCTATTGTTGAGGAAACCCCTTAGCAGTAATGTCCGTCCCGATGAAAATCCTAGATTAGGTCCCTTGAGATAGATGTTGTTTTAGGGACGTAAAGTGAGGATAACGGGAATGGGTAATCGGGATAGTGATTGGTTGGTGAAATTTAATATAATTTATTTATTGTGGGTTGAAAACCCTATATGCTCACCAGGCTCCCAAGCCTGACCCACTCAGTTTTATTTGTATTACAGGAAGTGGCGCAAGGGCGTAAGATGGATGAACCATCAAGTTGTTTTGTTTACAAGTCTGTATATGTATATATTTGTTGAATGACTTGTAATGTTATTGTTTATGCTTAATGGTCTGTATCGGAACATGACACCCCGAGTTTTGATTATATAATGAAAAATACATTTCTTTTATGAAATGATTTGGTAAACATTGTTTTATCATGTTTTGTTTTTGGGAACAAATTCCGCAACTCTTTTAAATCAAAAGGATTTACTCTGAATTTATCTTAAAAGCATAAATGAAAATCGGTTTTTTCTGGCCGAGATTTTGGGGATGTCACAGAAGTGCTTGTGTGGCATCTCGTTGAATTACGATCATCTGTTTGTTGAGAAATAGTGAAATGATTCTTTTCATTATGCTTAAGGGTAGCCTCATCTTCAACCAAATTCTGAAACTCAGTATATGTCTGAAAGTATGGAAGAAGTACTTGTCTGACCATTGTAGCCATAAGAGCAAGTATGCTTTGGATTTATGTAATTGGATGGATAATATAGAAATCTCAAGAAAAAATAAAAACTGGATCTTTTGGGAAGAAAATTCTTGGGTCGAGAAACTTTCATCAAGATCTTGCAAAAATAAAAATAATGAGATTCCGAGGTACAAACCACGAGGGTTGAATTTCATCAATTCCATGGTGAAAAATCTAGAGCATTTTATTTGTTCACCTTCAAATACAGAAAGAGGTTTCTGATTTTGGTTTTCACTCAATTTCTGGTGACAATGAACTTAAGATCATAAAAAAAGATGTTGTGTAACCATAAACCTCGGTGTAAATTTTTGTGAGTCTCGTGTAACACCCGGTTCCTGGTACATATTTTAATTCAAGTAATGTTGTAATTTACTCTGCGACTCGGCAAGTTGGAGGCCCAACTCATCGACTAGACTTGACATTATGCGGGGATTTTAGTGATCTACTCGACAAGTCGGGAGACCGAATCGGCAAGTAGGATTTGTCCGGAAAAACCCTAATGTTTAGGGTTTGCACCCTATTTCAATACTTTATCTCGTCCCAAACCAGCCTCCATCACCCTCCCAACTCAGAGAAGCCCTAGATTGAAACCCAAAACCCTTATTGTGTGTTATTGAGCCTTTTGGTGCCTTTTGGTATGTGTTTGAAGTTGGAGAAGAAGAAGGAGGCTTGGAAGTTCAAGTAGAAGCAAGGAGATCCAGAAGTTTTACTCCATTCTCAGCTCATTCAAGGTAAAAAGCTGGAACCTTGACCATCTATCTCTTAGATTTTGATTTGGGGCTATTTCTAGCCTTTTTATGAGTATAGAGAACAAAAGTCAGATTTTGTGGGCATGCTTGAAGTTGCACTTCGGATCTGGATCTATTGGGGGTCTTTATGGTATAAAGGTGCCAACTTTGTTGGCATAAACACCCCATGCATCTTGTAGACCTCCTTTTATGGCTTCTTTAGCCAAAGGCCCCATGCATGTACATCAAGTTTGAAGTTTTACGTATAAAATGGAACCTAGGAGGCCAGATCAATGGTTTTGATGTGTTAAGACCCATTATAATCGACGAGTTGTTCATGGGACTCGGCGAGTCGGGGTGTATTTTCCACCAAACCCTTTCTATTCATGGACCAGATGTTAGGATCGAGGGTTCCCGAGTTGTTTAGGTTCACTAGGGACCTGGAAATCATAGGACTCGGCGAACAGACGCGGAGAGTTCAAGGAAATGTCCCAGCCACATGAATACGGACTCGGCGAGTTCAAGGGGAACTCGGCGACTCATAGACTGAACACCTTCTTATGGATGAAGATGAACTCAGCGAGTTCAAGGACAAAATCAGCAAGTCCGTTGAAGATAGTCTGATGTGTTGTTGAGGGCAAACTCATCGAGCTCTTGCTAGACTCGACGAGTAGGGACAGGATTATGGAATTTTGTGGATATGGGGATTCGATGAGTTGGCAGGCAAACTCGGTGAGTCGAGTCAACCAGATGTTGAATTTGACCAAATGTTGACTTTGACCAAGGATTTGACTTTGACTTTGACTTGGATTTGAGTGACTCTTGTAAGGGTTATGACTATGAATTGATAACTTAGAAAAGTTGTCGTTTATGGATTGAGGAGTTGAGGAGAGTCGATTTTCACACCGACAGTGTAGATACTACACGACGTTGAGGTGAGTTACCCTTCAGTAGAAGTGGGTCTAAGGCACCAAGGCCAACCCACTAGTAGTTGGTTACAGTTGAGATGATTGTCTTTGTGATAATTGTCTGGTTTGCTATTATTTGATGTGTTTTATGTGCCAGTATGCTATGTTTTATGTGATAACGGTAGTAGGAGGGGAATAGTCCCCCGATTTGGTCGTGAGGACCGAAGGGTAGGTTGGACACCCCAAATATGTCAGACAACATGTTTATGATATGTTATTATGTGATAGTAGTAGGGGTGAAATAGTCCCCATGACCAGGTGAGATAGACCAGAGGGTAGGCAGGAACCCCAAAATAGCCTGACACAAGTAGGTCAGCAACCCAAAATGGCTTGACATGGGTAGGTCGGCACCCCAAAATGGCTTGACATGGGTAAGTTGGCACCCCAGAATTTCCCGACAGTATGTATGATTGTATGGTATGTGGTATGATGGGAG